CCGAGTTGCGATCCACAGCCAAAATGAACTGAAAGAGAGAGAAAAAAAAACACGGTTAGACAGAGGTCAAATTACAACACCTAGAATATCACAAAACTAATATTTGAGGGGCTGCCATAGAGAGGAGCTATTTTCCAAAGCACCTGAAGGCCAGACAAGGAATAATGGATGGAAAATGATCAAGGAGAGATTCAACTTGAAAATAAGGATAAATTTCCTGACAGTGAGAACAACAGAACAGAAGTTGCCTTCAGGAATTGTGGGAGCTTCAGATCACTGGAGCTTCATCATCAAGAAGAGACTGGATTAAAAGGGGAAAGATTTATACGATCTGAAGAGAAAGCAGAGTAAATTTAGTGCCAAATTGTTGGAAATGTGATTATGAATCAGGCACATACTACCATTTAGTCATGCCGGCCGCATGACCACAGAGACGTCTTCAGACAGCGCTGACTCTTCGGCTTTGAAACGGAGATGAGCATTGCCCCCTAGAGTTGGGAACGACTAGCACATATGTGCAAAGGGAACCTTTACTTTAATGTATGTGTGTGTGTGTACACACACACACTTTTTTTAAAATTCCTCTTCCCTTTTCCCTTTTATCTTTGTTTGTATTTTAATGGCTGGCTTTAAATTTTACTATTTAATAAAGATATCATCATGACAAATGAACAAGTACCTACAAGTACTGCTACCAAGCCGTCAACACAACTCCACCGCGTTCCAGCCGTTGAATTTTACTTACTCATCAGCTCCCACAACAGAGACACACACATGCAGAGGATTTCCTTAACCAGTTCTGGACCACCCACACAAAACTTAAAGAGTCGGGGACCTCACTTTTCAAGATCCTTGGCTAAGATGCCTCTCACAAGAATCGCTTACAGCAGGACTTTTATAGATGGAGACTTTCAGGCAAGGCGAAAAGAAAACTCACTCAGCATTTCTCAACTTTGGTGACTTCAGCTCTGTGGACTTCAGTTCCCAGAATTCTCAATATGGCCATGGCTGAGAATTCTGGGAATCAGACCGACTGGGAATCAGTTGTGAAAGTAACTGACAGATGACATATAGTGCTTAAAGTAAGAATGTCCAATCTTGGAAACTTTTAAAACTTTGTGGACTTCAATTCCCAGAATTTCCCAGCCAGCCATCTTAGTGGATGATGACTTAAACATGAGTCAGCAGTGTGCAGCAGCATCCCAAAAGCTAATACAATCCTTGGTTGCGTGTGTGTGTGCCTCAAACGAAACATCGTTTTTGTGCAATCCATCTGCCTGTGGCCTTTTCTGCAAATGTAGCCATAGCCTAGGATGAGCACTAGAAGGCAGTGCAAATCTCCCCGCCTGACGTTCACTCAAACATGCTCAACCTGTTCGTGCCTGCCTACAGACAACCACACAAGTTACAGCATGATGCACTGCAACAAACATCGCAATATCCAAAGTTCCCACTCTGTTAGTGACTAGCAAGCATCCCAGTCCATAGGGGTCTATCTGTGCCAGTTAAAACCCGGCACGCACAATTTTTCTTTTACAAACGCAGGTAGCTCGACTTTGCCACCGCTTCACATTCTCTACCTCCTGGCTGGCAAATTCTGGGAGTTGAAATCCACACGTCTTAAAGTTGCCAAGGTTGGAAAACACTGGATTAAAGCGTGACCCGTCAAAACCGCCGAGGACAAAATCGCGCTCGACGAAAGTGCGCATTTGACGTCATCACAGCGCGATGAAAAAAATTAAAAATTGAAATAAAATTAAAATTAAAGCAAACTGATTCACATAAAGATAAGGGTTAGGTTTAGGTTTAGGGTTAGGGTTAGGTTAAGGGGTAGGGTTAGAGCGTTAGGGTTACGTTTAGCGTTAGGTTAA